GTATCACAACTGCCTACATTGCTTCTGTTAACACTGAGCTGTGCTCAAATCAAATTGGAATTATTTTATTATTACAAAACACTATTTGCTTCTCTCTGGTGTTTCATCATTTTCGTTATGCCTATTGCCTTACCAAGCAAATAATACCCAGCTACCATCACTTTTCACAGTGCTTGCTGGTGCAGTGGGAAAATGCTTGGTTGTGTGATAACCATGCTCTTGTCCCCAAATTCCCTGACATGTGACATAAATAAAGGTTTTTTTATTAAAAATGGTAAGTAAATTGGGTCAATAAGAGGGCTCACTGATGAAATAAGCTGATTGGAACATTGCTCTAAACATTCCAGTTACAGAAACCTAAAATGTGTATTCAGCCTTCTGTGCTGAGCAAATAATTGACTGTTATTCCATTCTTCCAAGCAATGCACGCATGAACTTTTCATTAATCAGACTAATTTTCTTTAACATTTCTAACACTGCACAGAAGGTACCATTCTTCGGAGCCTACTCATGGCCATATTTCAAGCAAGACCTGCAGGAAATTATCCCTGCTTATGGTGGAATATTAAACTGCCCATTCTGCTGTGAAACAGTGGGTTTCATCAGTTGACATAAATACTATGCTTCTTTTCAGCTGCTGATTTGAAGATGCAATTTACACAATAAGCTAAAACAATATCTGATCCCCATCCTCTTACTTCAGCTCCATCTACTCACTCATATTAAGATTTACAGTTTCTCTCTATTTCTTATCTAATCACTGTTAGTAAGAGCACTGTGTTCTAATATGATGGTGTACAAAAACTACAGTCATATTATCCCTGCACTGACCTGTAGCTCTGGGAAATTTACAGTTAGCAGGGTTGAGTTATTTAGGCAACATCTGATTAATTTTCCCCTCTCTAGGACTATTTCCTTGTCTTTAAATGTGAGCTAGAATTTCAAGGCAAGCATTAGAAAAATCCATAGTTGCCACACAGAAAGAAACACTGCTCTTTTCTTCCAGTCTAAAGGTGTGCTATCATGTTTTAGAACCAACAACAGTAAATATTGGTGTCTGAGGTTGTCTGCTCCCCCTCTGCTTTACAAACATATTGATGCTGAAAACCATTTTCCTGCCCTTAGAGCAGCAGCCTTATTTGTACCAAAACAGGCCCCTAAGTTTCAAGTCACAGCTTTATTTCAGCTTGCTTTATTTCCACTCACAATACTGCATTTTCCTACATATTCCAAGTTGCTTGCTGGATTGTGAATTTAAGTAAACTGAAAGGATGTGAAATTTGCTATGAGGCCACTGAGTGTCATATATAGTGACACTCGCAGTGTTTGACTGCATTGCCCCTTTCAGCACAGAACCAAACAAAGCCTTATTTCACCAGTTTGCGGATGCTATTGCACTTGGAAAACACAAAAACCAATTGCCTGATGATTTGTTCGACTGAAAACACTCAAGAGAACTGCATCCAGAAATATAACATTGTGTCAGTATTTTATAAAATCATTGTACCTCTGCAGAAGAAGAGAATTTACTTAGCTACGTGAAATCAAGTTTCCTTTGCAGTACAGATGAACACCAAGTGTCTGGATATTAATCAAAACCCGAAAAACAGTTTCCTGACAGACTCACTTCAGCCAAAATCTATGATTATTGGCAGGGAATCTAATGAAAAGAGAGAAAGGGGGACTGACAGGACTTGGAAAACATATTTGTATATCAAAATGGCCCATAAAAACAGAGCTCAGACTCATTATTGGAAAGATTATTTGTACAAGACTTCAATGTGTGGCTTTCTCTACTACTATACAAAGCATTCACCTCTTCACCTCCCTTTCTTCTGGCAGAACTAGGCTTCTGTTCACAGGAACTATTTATTAAAGTAGCAAACAGAGGAAGAAAATAAACAGTCAACATACTTCTGCTCACTATTGCCTAAATACAGTTTTAGGGTAATAAAAAGTACAGTACAAAAAGTACAGTACCTTGTACCACTTCCTTTTTGGTTTCATTTTTGATAAAAGGCAATTATTTGTCTATTGAGCAATTTTATTAAGAGTCTCTCGAAGCACATATGAGTTGTTCATAAAACCTGGTTACACATTTTAAAACAAAAATAGCATCATGTTGCTCTCACCTACTGCTTTCAGGAAAGCCATAATTAGAACTACGGGAAATAAATTCCTTCTCATACTATTTTTAAACTTGACTCATAGTTTTTGTTTATGTTGTATTGACCTAAATTCACCTAAACCTGGAAAGTAGTTGATTAAAATTTGTGGAGCCTTGCTTTTCTGAAATTCCCTGTAGTAACAAAATCTGTATATATTTTATGTAACAGCGTGTATAACAATGTGTATCACATATTACAATATCCACAAGATGCAGTACACAGAGATAAGACCTCAGATTTATGCATTTCCTCAATTTTCACATCTTCACCAAGCTGTTCATTTTTCTCTGCTAGCCCTAGACTTTTCTTTCCAAAGCAGTATGCAAGAAATCCATTATGTAGATGCAGTTAACTGATAGAAAAATTACTGAAGCATAAAGGTGGACCCTGCAGAGCCTGCAGTGATCTGGGACTCCTTCAGCTTTCTTGCAACTACACATGCACACTGCCTTGTCCCTGCTGTGCAAAGCCTGCTTCCACATGGAAAAGTCAGGTTTCACGCTGCTAGGAGCAGTTAGGAAGGCAGCTACTGAAGCTGCTCCACAGGAGAACCAGCAAGGATATTTTCACAGAAGCCAGCCACTCTCCGAACTGCTAATTTCATTTTGCACAAACTGATACTCTCCTGCCTTTTCAAATGGCCAAGAGCAAAACTAAAATAAATAAATAATGACACAGTAAAAGTGCTGCCTTCTGTTCTGCAACTTCATCCTTCTGTGGCAGAGACAAAATTAGGCAGCACCACTGTCCTCCAATCTCTCTTCTTCATCCAGTGCTACTGATGGCATTTATTCCATGGAAAGACCAGCTTTTGCACTTAGTTTTTCACACTGAAGACTAAGCCTATTACCTAAGTAGCCAAAAGAAAGCTGGAAGTGGTGTCTGCTGAGACAGGCACAGCTGAGACTTACAGGACCTAGAGGGGACCCTGGAGCTGTTATTTCATGCACCCAAACAATAGTTAAATCACTTGTCCTTGAAGAAGGCATACACTTACCCTTAACAACAGTAGAAATGCAGAGGACTCATTTAGGAAGACTGCATTTTTAAAGTAACTAGCAAGCCACCACATCCCCAGATTTCCCACATTACCATCAGGGTGAAAACAATACTTCAAGGATTTGCAGAAGCGGTCAGAGTTTCTAAATATCTTGTTTCTTATTAGACAAACTAACCTGATCTTAGCAGTATCAGAAAAATCGTTTTATATTATTAATGCACTGCTTCCAAACCGCATCAGAATTTATTTTATTAGTCACATGAACTTATCTAGAGAAAACCTTCGTATCACTCAAAATTAGAGAAATGGAAACACTTGTCATGAACAAAGCACCAAACAATTCCTGAGTAAAATGGAACAGAGCAAGTTCCACTGTGAGATGAACAAGAGGTTTACCTCCTAAGCAGAACATATGACACATTATCTGAAGGATTGGCCAGAGTAGCAATCAGGACTTTGACCACTCAGTTCTTAAAAAAATAGTCTTTATAAATGAGCTTTATTAGTCGGCAAGCATTTTGTCAAAAAAAATCCTTTGCTTATGGAAAACAAGGACAGAACCAAAAAAAAAAAAAACCAACAGGTTCTTTTAAATAAAACCAACATCAAATAAATACTGTTTTATCTTTGTTCAGCAAACACTTTATCTTTGGATTTATATTAAGAATCTTCAAAATGTATGGTTTTATTCTCAGAGAGAAAAGAAGCACTCAGAAGCACTGTATCGGGCCCCCACATCCAATTTTCTCTCATATTCCATAATGATATATTACCAGACATAGATATTTAAAATAGATAATTTAGGAAAAACCAGAACTACAGTCACTTAGACTATAATTATAGCACTGTCTGAACATTTTTCTAACAAAACTCTCTAAAAAGAAATTAATATGCATGGTGAATTTCAAATAGTAAAACATTATGCACAAATATCTCTTCCACCTATCCATATCTTCTTCTTTACTACTGTCAATGTTTGTAATGCTCATTATAAAATCAACTTTAGAGTCACTGAAAAACAATCCTATAGCAAATCTACCCTTAGTCAGAAACTAACTTTTGTAGGAAAACAGAAACTTGAACTACTGAAAAGGTTCTGGTTACAAACTATTAGGAGAAGCAAGAGGGGTTGCTGTGCTTTGGTAATTTTTTGTGGAAAAATGTTTCCTACAAATGTTTAATAATTTTATACCTGCTAGGCTGTCACATTACCAATAACCAAAGCTATCAATGACACTGGAAGAATCTCAGAAGAAAAGGTATGAAAAAAGTCCCTAATAAGCATTTAAGGATCAAATGGTTTCCTGCAATGTAATCTAGGAGTGTATTCCTATCTTTAGCACAGGTGCTCCTTTCAATCTGTCCCCTTGTACTATTTCTGTGTTTTTTACTTTAACTGCAGGTTTTGTTTTGTCAGTGGCATTAACAAATGTCACTCTAGTGAAAACCCTAAACTAAAAAGTCAGGCCACAGAAACAGGCATCCCACATTTCTCTTTTGCTAGAGACATTTTTTTAAAAAATTATTTTACTTCATCATGATGTCAATCATAATTCCATTCACAATGAAATAAAATATCAAAAGTTACAACATCCATCTTCAAATGTATCTCCTAAAGACTATAAACAAATAAAACATGCTTGAGGGTGAATGCCATATCCTAAAGGTTATTAATCACCAGGAGAGGAGAAAGGTGGCCATGTGTTTATGCCAGAATCATGAATGATGGCAGCACAGATTATAAATATTAAAATCCAAATATGCAGCACTCAAAGCCATAGTCCCAAGCCACATAAAAATCCAAGAACAGTTCACAAAGGGCTAAAATAACTGGGTTGGAACCGTTTATTTACTTTAATCTGCAGAGCATGTCTTCAGATAGAAGGAAATAAAGATAAATCAGTAAAGAAAATAAGACATTTATAATACACTGTGAAAAATCTGGAAAAAAAATCACTAAAACAATAGCTTTTTGGAAACTTGAATCTGCAGAAAGCCTTCTGGGCCTAAATCCAATACAAACCTGTCAGAAAATATTGATGAAAAATGTGCATTTACAATTGTAAATAAGACATGAATATGAAACCTAATCCAAAATTCAATTATTCCAGAAGGGAAAGGTTTGGTTGGGGGTTTTTTACTACATTATTTAGTTAGTTGATTTAATTAGACAGTTGTTTTGGTAAACAAAATTACCTCAGAATGAAACTCCACCAACAACCATTGACAAATCAAATGGACTTCAAAGACTGTCACTGTGCTTATTTGCCTCATTCATAATAGCTTGCTGAAAATACCTGTGAGGGTCCAGCATTACAGAAAGCACCTTCCCAGAAAAGAAACGTGATCAAAGGAATTGTCAGGCAGCATCAGGCCTGCCTTTCATACACTGCTCAAGGGATCCTTTCCGCGTGCTCTGGAAATGCCCTCTGATGCTCCATGCCAGACTCTGACCCAGCTCTGCAAATCAAAGGTTAATGGAGTGCACCCTTAACACAAAGGCACATCTTAACACAGACTAAAAAAATAAAAGGATTTTTTCACCAAGTGGGGGTGCTCTTTTTAGCATATTAAGGGAGTAACAGGCCTTCTGCCATTCCCCAAATGCACTACAATCAAGCAGCTGCTCATCATGAATAAGCCTCAAGAAAATTTTCCTGACTAAACTCACTACATCAAAAGCTCAGCTGACACAGGTTAGCAGACAAGTTCACTTGATGTTTTGAAAGGTAAAAAAAAAAAAAAAATAAAGCAGGAGAGGAATTAAGTTCCAGTGCAAAAGAGTGCAGAAATGCAGTCTGTGAACTTGATGTGGCTGAATCAATAGGAAATCACATGCGCCCCAGCCAGCACCAGAAACAGCACAAGTCACTGCAATGGGTGACTCCACAAGTAAGGCTATGCACTCTTTTAACATGAGAAAACTCTACCCTGCCTTGCTATGGTATTTCTCATTATTGAAACACTCCAGGTAGATCCAGAGGACAGGGAGCAGCAAAATGCAGAAACAGAACATGTCCAGTTTCACTTTAGATTACAGTAAGCAACATTAAAGCTGCCCGAGTAGGCTGCTCTGCTGCACTTTGTAGTGGGCTGTTTAGGTTGGTACTTAAAAATAAGCTGTAGTAATGAGAAAAAAAAGCAATTCTTTTAACTCCACATTCACTTTGAGTAAAAAGACTATAAACATTTCTTCACATAAACTTGGAGAACTGAAATGCAAGAGACTTCCAGCTTCTGCCTCAATACCGAAATTCCCATTATCACGTAGAAAACTGTGAGCCTCTGCAACTTGAACCGAGACTCCAAGTTCACTCCTTGGGTTTATAACATCAAACTAAATGTGCCAAGGGCTGATCTTAACTCTAAAACCAACAGGAATTAAATGTATGCATCCATCAGGACATGTAAAGGTAAATTTGAGCTGTACACAAATCTCTCAGAAAGCATATGCTTTTTAGGATTACAGGACAGGAAAGACCCACCAAATTCCAGTCCCCAGCCATAAGAAGAGCATAATTTAATGTTTTTTTAAAGCAGTCAAACTCCTTCCAAAGAGTGCTTATGATTTTGCTCTGATTGAAAAACCATTGCAGAACCTTGCTGCTCTAACAATTAGGAGCCTTCTTTTAATTCCCAGCTTGAATTTATTCATAGCCAGCTTACACCCATTAGTTCTTGTGCCAATATTGTCCTTTAGCTTAAATAGCTCTTCTCCTTCCCTGGTGTTTACCTCCCTCAAGAATTTAATTTCATTCAATTACATTTCTTAGGACTAATTGTTTTAAAATGAGAGGACACACTTTATAAAACTATCAATGGCACATTCCATAAGGGGAAAAATTAACTTCTCTTGCAATTATATATGCACAGAATTTGAAAAGTGCACATCAAGGCAGTTATAAGCCCACAGAAAACCTGTATTATTCCAGGATGTAAGAGAGCAATGATGACTGCAAATGAAGATATTAGAAGCTGTGAGATGAGAAACTTTATAAGCATACCGGAATGAAAACTAATTCTTATGAAAAAATAAATTTATTCTTCAGCTTTCTTGCAGAAAGACTAAGTTTAAAAATCCATTTAATGCTCATTTCATTCACCACTCTGCAAAATTAGGGAAAAAACTCCAAACACAGCAAAACTCACAAAGCAATAAAATAGAATAGTCAAGAACCATAGAAAAAAGGTGCAGTATTTTTTATGCTTTTTAAAGGTTAAGGATAATTGTAATTTCACTGGGTCAACTTCTAGTGTCACTTTGGCTACTCTCAATAGTTCCTAAAAAGGTCAAGGTGATGTGCTTCTCGTTCAATGATCATGGAAAACCACACCAGCTTTTTAGAAATGAAAAATGCATTTTGCAGAGCACTTCGACTGTGTTTGGTGATTCCTAGGCTGTGACACATTATTGATTGAAACAGCACTTATGTCCATAATTCAGAACTACCCACTTTTTAATTTCAGGAAATTTTATGTTAGCAAATAATTTGGCATACATTGTAGCTTAATTGAACTAAAAATAAAAGGTTACTTTTTTATTAATTTCCACTGTGTGCCTACAATATGCAGTGAGATAATAGGAGTGATATAAATTCAAATTTAATTTTCATACTGATGAAATCAAACATCTAATATTAGTTTGAACTCATTAATTTATACTTGTAAGAGGCATAACACATTACTAACTCAAGATATTAGGTAGACAAATTACAGAGGAAAACCAGAGCTCCACTTCACTAATCAAGAGTTATCTATTTCCTCAAGCCAGAGGAGTAAACAGGCCAATGGATTAACAAGCTTCCCTACCTTTTTCTCCTGGTAAAATGAAAATTAGCCTTCTTCTAACCTTTCTTCCCACTTAATGAAGCCAACCAATATCCCCTTCTCTTGCATCTGAAGTGTGGCCCCCTTCAGTAAGTTCAAGCTTATGCATCCAAGAAGTCTTGCATAAAAGAATTAAGAAACATAAAACTAAAATCTGAAGGAAAAAAAAAACAAAATATGGATTGATTTTTGTATCTCAGAAAAACATATACTAGCAAATATTCCACACAACACTAAAAATTAACCCAAATCTCAGCTATCATTGATGCAGGTAAGTATAACAAATAAAAAATGTGATATCACCCCCAGAATATCATTGAAACTATCAAAATATATTTTCACTATGATAAAGGACTTCACTCAAACCAGAACATAAAGTGAAGTATCGACCTATTTCTAAACACTGAAGGTAGAAACACCTCCACTCATTGCACAATGAAGTGCTGGTTGCCCATTTTTATTTTGTGAATTTCCCAGTATCATGTCAATAATTACTGCTAGGGGCAAGAAGAAAAAAAATTCTCTCTTAGTTTGGGATATGAACTTTTAGTGGCTCACAGTTTTCAGTAAATATTCTGAACAGTTCTCAATTCTACAGCATACAGGAAAGCCATGATGACTTTGGAAAGAATGTAATGACTAATTATTCCCAATAGACAGTGTACAAGCATTCAAATACATCAAAACATCTTTCAAGCTAGCTAAAAGTATCTACTACTTTGTGAGGACTACAAGATCTGAATTATTTAACTTTTTGCCTCTGAAGAAGGGATTATGAAAATATGGAAAAGAATACCTAGAATTCTGCCCACATTACTGCAGAAACCCAATTCATGAAGATCAGATCCATAAGGGATACAGGTTTCAATTCTTTCAGCTGAACTTCATGAGCTTGATTTTGCCCACATCTTAACTTACTTTCACACCAAAAGAAAACTTCTATTATCAATATTCTTCTTAAGAGAAGCCATGGCTCACAATGAAACAAGTGCCCTATCTTGATTTTGGCATTCACCATTCCTTTCAATGATACATTTTTTCTTAATCAAGCAAGCACAACTCTACTGCTTTGCCTTCTGTTTTAACACATCATCGTAAGGACACTGCCAACCATTTTCATTTTAGTAGCTCTCAACACTGACTTCACATATCTCTTTGATCCTTCCAAAATGACACGTTATATAACATAGATCAGCTGCATCCATTCAGTCCATGCACTAGGAGACCAAAATTCAACACCAAAAGACTTGGAAAGTAACAAAAAAGCAACAACCTGCTAACTTATTTTCCTATTACTAAAAAAGGTGTTTACTCACCCTGAAAGAAAAGGCCTTCCTTGTTACTGAAAAAAACCCCAATTTTCACTGTACTATGTTTCTAAAAACTCTGCACACTTTTTTCTCCTTTCCCTCGTAGTTATGGGGGAAGGGGTGGTGGTGGGGGGGAAGAAAAAGAAAAGAAAAGTGAGTAAAACATTGGTAATTTGTTTAGCTAGTGATGCAGGCAGTTCTCCAATCAAATTTTGTTTCCCCAAGGAAGATATCAGTTTTAAATTACACAGCAAGAAGGCAAAAGAAAGGAAGCAAACAATCAAAACCTTCCCAGGAGGGGTAAGAGTAAGGCAAGAACTCCAGAGATCCTATTTAATAAATAAACACCTTCATTTTTGTAAGTTAATTTCACCACAGGAAATAAGTTTAGTTTTAATTATATTGCCTTGTGTCATGTTTTATAAAAAGTACATGAAGCTCATTGACTTTCTCTTATTATTAAAGCTTTCTTTATGCTAGAGAGACATTGCATGTAGATTAAATCTCAGTAGAGCCCTAGCTCGGTGCAAAGTGACGTAAGATGCAACAGTTTTATTGTTATACCACACCTGTGACAACTACTGAGAACAAAAACAAAATATCACTGCAGGTGAGGTTTTTTTTTCAAAAAAAACTAACTAGGCATAAGAAAATCCTAAAAATACACACATACGCAAAAAAAAAGACAAAATTTGTCATCCAGTTAAAGGCTTTTCTTACACAGATACTGAAAACATGCAGAATTTCAAAAATACAGAAGCCAAAAAGTTAATACAAGCATAAATACATATTTAAAAATTAATTTCCAAAACGAGAAATTCCAGAGGAAAATAAATTTGCTTCCAAAATTCAGACACAACATGACAGACATATTCTGAGTTTAGAATAGCCTTTCTTAACCTCCCGACACCACTGAAGATGTTAGTTTAAGGCAATTTTAGGAGGCAGTCTCTCAAAAATAAGTCGCCTCCCCTCAGATTTCAACCTTTCCTCTTGCCCAATAGGGAGAGAAAAATGCAAAGAGGATCTATGCAAAAAAATAACAGTTTCCTAAACAAGAAGCAGCAGCAGTAACCACCAGGTACAAAGGTGCTGAGTCCTGTGGCTCCACCCAGATGAGAGAGCAAAAGGTAAAACCCACATCCAACAAGCCTCTGCTGCTCCAGAAACTGTCTGCCCCCAAATAAAAGCAGGAGTGGGGAAAACCAAAACCTAGGGAAAATAAAACTATCACGTGCAGAAGGCTCCAATGCTACCAAAATGCTGGAAAAACCTTCCTGGCAGCTGTAGGGCTGACCCCTACCAGTGCAGCCAGAGGTTGGAGCAATGGCTGGAAACTTGTGGAGTGGCTCCAGTGCTACTGATGTGCAGAAAAAAAAAAAAAAGAGAGCCTGGTGTGTGTCCATTCCTGTTTTTAAAGAGACCCATCAGCCCCTCAATGCTTCAGATTTTAGCTTTTATATTTGTCAGATTTGGTGTTGCTTTAGTGTGTAGTTCTGAGCTTCATATTGGGGGATGGTGAGCTCTCATCAAGGAGTAGGCTGACAAAACCATTCCTTCTCCAGCTGGGGACCAAGGACAAATGATCCAAATCTCAGCCCAAGAGCACAAACAAGGTGGACTGAAGACAAAAACAAGCAGGATGGGACTTCATGGGCTAAAGCTTTAACTGGACAATTAACTTAATATGCAAATGGACCAGAACTTATGAAAGTGTGAGACCCAGTGACTGAGCACCCATTTTGTGACCATTTTGGGTTCACCTGGGGTGCAGCCCTGGCTGGGCTCTTGTGCTGCCCAAGGTGGATCCATTGAGGCCTTTTCATAAATCCCTGCTTTATTCTTCAGCTCTGTCCAGCCTCTGTTCTAGGACAGCCTTCATGAGGCATCACCCTCCCTCCCATGAATCCAGAGTAAAACACACAAGTTTTGCTTCCCAGGATGCCACATCTCAGACAGAAAAACAGACTGCAGGGATTGATGTAGAGAAATTATGGAATGCATAAATTTTGGGTCACCTAGGACAATACTCTACACCATTCAGTCAGTGAATGCAGCAAACTATGGGAATTTGTGAGTTTTATTTTTAATGCTTTAGAAGGCAAAAAATAACTTTCATATCGCTGCCTTTCATTTTTTAATTTATTTTGGGCAAAGCAGAATTACGATACCACCAAGACTTTTTTCCCCTCCCTAGTCTCAGAAATTTTCACTTAAGACAGCAGTTCCCATCCTGGTTCAGTGTCAAATGTTTGGAAACACTGCCAGCTATTTCTAGATGCCTGCTATGACCACTAGGTAGCTTGTTCTGTGGCCTGCTGAGGAAAAAAAAATATATTAATGATAAATTTGTGAAGATTTTTCTAGTTTTCTGCTAATTTTCTATGACTATCGAATAGCTGGTGCCACATAACCACACAGGTATTTCTTTGGCTTCCAGAAGAATGAGAAGATAACACATCCCTGTTAAGATGGCTTAAGACCACAGAGCACATGAGAAGTCTATTTATAGTCCCATCTGCTTTTTTCTTATGCAAAGAGGGCATAAACCTCTTCTGCTATCAGCCTAACAGCTTTCAGGAAAAAAAAATTATTTTGGGAAGGGGTAAAACTCTTACACAGCCCCAACAATCTTAAATGAGATGTAAAATCCTGAAAAACTCTTTTCATACACTGCTTTTTACATTGCTGCATAGGATTTTTCATCTTAGCTCCCATTATCAACATTCACAGTATCTATGGAACAAGTTTGAAAGTTTTAAAAAAGGTTTGCTAGAACATCCAGTGACTATTACCTAACACATCTACTCCCAGTTGCTCATCTATCTCTAATTCCTATGAGCAAAGTCTGCAACTGAAAATTAAATACATACAGTACTTCTTTGCCAAGCTTCCTGACACTCACTCCTCAAGTTGTTTGCCCTTCATACAACTCAGAGAATTAAGGCTTTGATTTAATTCTTAATAGAAAAAAAACCATTAAAAATTCCCTTTAAATGCTCTGCCTTGTACTCATTAATAATCACTGAGTAATTCTGGCGTCTGAATGACAAGAAGTAAGGCAATATTTTAAGAGAGTTTGGCATCCTCATAAGATTAGGATGAACTAATATGTAATTAACAATAATTTTTAGAATTTACAAGGAAATCTTTTATTCATGGCAGACAGAAGAAATAAAGGGACACAGGCATTTACTAGAACCATTCTCACTCTGATGTCAAGGAGGAATTCCAAGATGCATTTCAGAATTTTGAGTGCTACACTGTTGACATACCTTTGAAATTTTAAGATCCCTATGCTCTTCAGAGTAAGCCAGTTATCTCTTATGATCCATGGTGGGGCTCTTAAGAAGTGGAGTCAACTTTCTAAACAAATAGGAATTGAGCTCGTGCTGTCAAAACACAGTGAATTTTGAATCCAGAATTGACAACTTTAAGCATTCAAGCATGCTGTCTGAACTGCAACATTAATTCCAGTAAGCTAAAGAATTCAGAGGTTTTCAGAGTACAGAGAACAAGCCAGCTGTAGGTTGTACAGTTGGCCTTGTCCAAGCTGCACCAGACAATAGAATTCCTTTTTCTAAACCTTTCTGTCATCGTTCTGCTGCTGTATTCCTCTTAATTCAGTTATCACTAGAGTCAATGACTCTTTTCTATCCTATCATAAACACCATCTTCAATTGCAAGGCCTCAAAAAACAACAAAAAGACAAACGAAAAAACCACACACTAAACAAAAAACAAACAAACAAACAAAAAAAAACCACCCACAAAACTCATGCACGTCTCCAGGAGTACATTTAGTATAACATAGTTAGACAGTGCCATAAGGGATTTATTATTTTACCAGAACAGAGTAATGGCAGAGGAAAAATGCTGTTACAAGGGAACGTTACTAGGGAACTGTGTATTAACTAGAAGTTATTCACCATCTGTACTTGTCTTGAAAACTAGTTTTTAGTCTGAAAAATTCTGACTTCTTTCTTTACACACTTTACATCTGCCCAAAAATGATTAAGTATGTTTTTTTCCTCCTATATTTTAAAACTTTATTGCTAAAGATTATATGAATAAAGCCAGATAAATATGTACAGGGAAATTCTGTACTGCTTGAGGCAGGAGACTGCATATAAATAACTGCAAAACATTGTTTTGTGTTTGAAGAATAAGTTGTAAAGGAAGGCTTGCAGGGAACAATATTTTATTTTACCAGTGCAAGAACACCAGATATGAAGAAATATGGACAAGGTCTAAAGCTGAAGCTGGTTTTCTACATTCCCTGGTTATTACAGTGGAGGCAGGTAAATAATAATAATTAAGATTCAAGTTGCATAAGTCTGTGCATCCTTATAAACAAGTCGGTCCAATCTTATTACACTTCATTAACCTTCACAGCAAATATGAGGTAGAGAGAGATAGAAATAGGAGGGGGAGGGGAAGAGAAAGAGTGACAAAGTTCCCAAAATTCAACTGCCTATCAATAGCACAAGATCATCACCTGGTATCAGTTGAATGTCTCTGCAATTTGCACCTATTTCCAATTAAGCCATTTAACAGGATCTCAGAGATTAGCTCAACCCTTCCATCTCCTTCCCTGACTAAACAAAGGTATCATTTGACTAATAAACAAGCAACCAAATTACATGTAACTCGACATTTTTCAAAATCAATCAATAAAGATGTGCTTTGTGGTTTTCTTCCGAGAGATGCAAACTTTGACAGGAATTTTAAAAAACTAAACCCCCAAACTGCTGGCATATATGGGTGTTTCATTCTAGAAAGATTCAAAGCACATTCATTCATGCATTTATTTTTGGTTTTGGGAGTGTGCTGGTTTTGCAATAACGGATTTTTGGCAAAGAGAGAAAAAATTAGTGATGGAACCAGCACGACAGGTGTGATGTATTTTTATGGTTTTGACTAAAGTTATATTAGTAGGCCTTATTCTGTATATTTGCAGCATTTTTAACAGGTACACCAATGGAGAACCTACCTCATCCTTTTAGACAAATCAAATGTCTTCTCCTGATGTGGACACAGAAATGAACTCTCTAAATATTGACAATGAAATCTTGATAATAAGATATGTACTGTATGTAACACATCTGAAGTATTTTCAGTTTTGTAGTACTATTAAGTCAATAATGGCTTTATTCATTAAATTCCATTCATAGCACGATAATGTTCTCCATAAAGGCATGTAAAGGGCAAGGTGTTGTGACATTAATGTGTAACATAAATAGCATTTCTTCAGTATTGTCAGCAGATTCAACCAAACTTTAATCCAGAAGCCTCAATTATTTTTTAACCTAACCCAGTGTGTATTGTGACCTGATGTAACAAACAATAACCCCCCTGCCAAAGGCCAGTCTTCAACACTTCCTCTGATAGTGGGCATTACTCTGTGTGTGGAGAATTCCTCAGACAATTGTTTGAAGACATTGAAACTGATATCCTGAAAATTCATCAGAAAGGAAGTGATTAGCACTCGGATACACTGGGGAAGCTTCCCTAAAGCATTCTATAAAGTTTATAGCTAAATTCACTGGGAGAAAATTCTAGATGCCACCTCTCCCCAACAAGAAGCACCACACAAAGGATTGTGAAGATTGCAGACTAAAATATGCTAATAACCTCAGTTAAAGCACCACTAAATACAACT